TGGGGGGGGAGCGGGCCGCTGCCGGTTCCCCTCATCGGTGCCCACCGGGGGTTGCGGGGAGGGGGTCCAGAGCTCCCGAGGCGGCCCGAGCCCGCCCGAAGCAGGCCACGACAGGCTAAGGGGGTCCCGAGAGGGCCCAAGCCGGTCCCAAGAGGCCCCGAAGGCGCCCGAGATGCCTTCAAGACAGCCGGACTAGGACTCCAACACGTTCCAGGACGGACTCAAGAGGCTCACAAGAGGGCCCTGGAAGGCAAGATTCGTTCGTTTTCCGAGTGTTTTGGATTTTGGTGTTCTCGCTTTTCCTGCTTTCCAACGCTCCCTCACGGCCTCGGAGGCCCTTCGGATCGCTCCAAGAAGGCCCACGAGGCCCCGACGAGGGCCCCAAGACGGCCCAGGGGGCTCCCCAGACAACGCAACTGTGCCCCAAGAGCGCGCCAAGAGAAGGTTCAGAGGGGTCCCGAGGCGGCCCAGGTCCGCCCCGAAGCAGGCCACGATAGGCGAATGGAGGTCCCGAGAGGGCCTTAGATTGTCCCAAGAGGCCCCGAAGACGCCCAAGATGCCTTCAAGACGGCCGACGAGGACTCCAACACGCTCGAGGAAGGACTCAAGAGGCTCCCCAAGAGGGCCCTGGGAGGCAAAATTCACTAATTTTCGGATGGTTTTTGAAGGATTCAGGCGTTCTCGCTTCCCCCGCTTCCCAGCGCTCCCTCACGGCCTCGCTCGGAGGCCCTTCAGTTCGCTCCAAGACGGGCCACGAGGCCGGGAAGAGGGCCCCAAGACGGCCCAGGAGGCTCCCCAGACAACCCAATTGTGCCCCAAGAGCTCCCCAAGAGAGGGCCCAGTTGGGGACCGCCCACCGATATTTCGATGTCTCTGGCCCCAGAGGCCGCCTGTAGGCCCCCGGAGGCCACCAAGAGGCCCCCACGGAGCCCCGTGACCCAAGAGGCCCCCAGGAAGCCCCAAGAGACCCCCAAGGGGCTCCCAGGGAACGTCCAAGAGGCCCCCCAACACACCCCAAGAAATCATGTCCCCAGAAAACCTTCCGGGGACATGGTTCATCATGGGCCCGAGAGTTCCTGGAGGCTCCCATTTGGCCCCCAGGGAACGCCCAAGAGACCCCCCAACACACTCCAACAACCCATGTCCCCAGAAAGCTTTCCAGCGACATGGTTCATCATGGGCCCGCGAGTCTCCGGAAGCTTCGAAGTACCATCATGTTGCAGGAGAGCTGTCTGGGAAGTTGATTGGGAACACGACTGATCGCCTTCTCGCGGCCCTCCGCAGATCGTTTCGCACAAAGTTGCCCCAAGTGCCCTCTTGAACCGACGACGACGAAACGACGAAACGACGAAGACGACGACGACGGCGACGACGACGACCACGGCGTGCCCCAATAGGCGACGACGACATTACGACGAAGACGACGGCACGCCCCAACAGGCTCCCCTATGCTCCCAGAAGGCCTTCTGGGAACCCGATTCATACGGCCTCCGCCCCGTGTAGCAATGAATTCGTCAAGGTCTGGAGCCTGCTAGAACCTGAGCGCGCGCGAAGCGCGCGCGATGATTCTAGTATATATATATATATATATATATATATATATATATATATATATAGATACATATAACGGCGCACTGGGTCCGGGGGCCCGGGGCCGGGACCCCGACCACAAATGTGGGCCCCGGGGGGCCCGGAGGCTCGTCGGACCGCCGGACGCCGTCCAAGATCGTTCGCAGGCGGCTTCGGAACGCGCTCCGATGGCTCCAGATGCCTTCCAAGACGCCTGTCATGACACCAAGAAGGTCCCAGAAGCCTCCAAGACGCTCCGAGAGGCAGCCCAAGAGAGGCCCAAGAAGCAAAAATCGTGCCATTCCTATGGGAAAACGTATATTTTTCGCATGTTCGCCTCTTGGGCTTTCACCGCGTCCAAGACGGCCCAAGAGGCGCCCAAGACCGCCCCAAGACGGCCCAAGAAGCTTCCAAGAGGGCCCCAGGACAGCCCAAGAGGGCCCCAAGACGGCCCAAGAGGCGCCCAAGATGGCCCAAGAGGGCCCCAAGACGGGCCCAAGAGGGGGCCCAGAGGGGGACCACGAACCGCAAGCTCGAGCCTTCCGCCCCAAGAGGCCGCCAGGAGGCCCCAAGGAGGCCCCTCAAGAGGCCCCAGGAGACCCCCAAGAGGCCCAAAGGAGGCCCCGAGAAGCCCCAAATCGGCCCCCAAAATGCTTCGAACCTGCTTCCAGGAGGCCCCCGACAGGTTCAGAGGCTCCCGAGAAGCTACGTCAAACTCCCAGCGAGCGGCCGGACGAGGCCCCCCACAAAATCACAAGAGGGTTCCAGTATTTGTATCCTTCAGCGCTCTCTGGCCTTCTTCCCCCTGCCCCCTTCCCTGCGACTTTCGTTGACTCAAGCTCGCCTCCCAGCTAGAACCTAAGCGCGCGCGAAGCGCGCGCGTGGTTCTAGTATATATATATATATATATATATATATATACATACATACATACATACATACATACATACATACATACATATATGTGTATAGATATTTATATTGTAAGTAGGGTGGGTCGTTCTCAAAATGTGGCCCCCGTGTCGTTTCGCAAATAATTGATTTACTTGTTTGCAAAGCAGTTTTACGAATAGCGGGCGAATTGCTGCCAGAAGGGAAGATTGCGGCGCATTCCGGTCCTGCAATGTCAAATAACTACTCGAGTGGAGGTCATTCATAATTGAATGGAGTTGTGGCGCGCGATTTCTTCAGATATTCTTGACTTCGTGCAACAGATATGTACGATGATGGATGGGAGCAATGTTTCAAGATAGGGCTGTCGCCTGAGACTGCATTGCGTGTTCGGAGCAACGTATAAACCTATCCAACTGCTACACGCGGACATAATGCGACTCCTACTAAAATTTTGTTCTCGTTGGACTTCCTTGACTTGCATGGCCCCACCACTTGGCACTCCTGAGCGCGTTTACTTCTCAAGGCTGGCCTATGACCAAAACTGCAGGCCCATGCGGCGTTCACCGCAGTTAGAAGAGTTCCAGCTGAGACGTCACGAGGAGAGGACTTGCGGCGGGAGGTCCGGGCGCAGCATCATTGACGCGTCCTGGGTTTCCGTTGAGTCCTTCCTCCCCCCTACCCTGAAGACTGGACGCCCAGATCCCACAGGTGTCCAGGGGTGCGGGTTGGACCGGATTTGAACGGACATCCAGCTTTGGCGACGAGAATCCCGCTCGGAGGCCGAAAGGAAGCCAACGTACACACACAATCAAGAATTCAGAACCTCCATCATCTCATTTCGATCTTCAGTCCCTCCCATTCTTCCGCCCATCCACCCGAAATGCCCCTCCTCCTCAGGCCCCCCCTTTCCTCCCTCGCATCTTCCTCCTCCACTCTCCCTGTATGGCCTCGTGCGCCTGCCTTTTTCATGTTCTTGCTTGGCAAGCTGGTCATTCACGCTTCGCATATCTCCACCGGCCCTTTTTTCGGAAACCGTGCCCATGAGAGTTGACAGGAAAAGGGACGAGGAGACACATACAGTTAAACAGAGCTGGCAGCCAGGCTCAATAGAGAGATCTCTGGGAACAAGGGGGTGGCTTTGGAGGGCCTCGTCGGGCCATAATAGGAGGAGGAGGAGGAGGAGGAGGAGGAGAAGGAGGAGGAGGAGGAAAAGGAGGAGGAACACAATGAAGACGACGACGGCGACGACGACCACGACGACGAGGAAGACGATGAGGGCACGAACGAAGACGAGGAGAAGGAGGAGGAGGAGGAGGACAACGAAAACGAGGACAGAACCCTCAAAATCGCCTCTTGGAGCCCTCTTGGGATTCGTTTGGGGAATATTGTGGCCCTCTTGGGGTTCTTTTGGCGGGTCTTCGGGTCCTCTTGGGGCTCTCTTGGGAGCTTGCTCGGAGCCCTGAAGGGCCTCTTGGGGCGCTCTTGGGCCGCTCTTGGGCACTCTTGTGGCCGTCTGAGGGAGCCTCTTGGGACCCTCTTGGGCCTCCCTTGGGCCATCTTGGGGCCAGCTTGGGGCCATCTCGAGGCCTCAAAGCGTATCGGAAGCGAAAATGCGAGAAGTCACAAATCATTGATCTTCCAAAGGTTTTGGAAGGATTGTGGGGCCCTCTTGGGGCACTCTTGGGACCCTCTTGGGGGCTTGTTGGGAGCCCTGGAGGGCCTCTTAGGGCTATCGTGGAGGGCGTCGGTGAGAAGAGAGGGGGTCGTAACGTTTGGTACCCCCCTTGGGGCCATCAAAATCGGCTCTTAGGGCCCTCTTGGGGCGCTCTTGGGCTACTCTTGGGCGCTCTTGGGGCCTGGGGGGCCTCTTGGGCCCCTCTTGGGCCTCTCTTGGGCCATCTTAGGGCCATCTCGATTTCTCAAAAGCGCATCGGAAACGAAAATGCGCGAAGTCAAAATCATCGATCTTCCAAAGGTTTTTGAAGGATTTTGGCCTCTTGGGGATTTGGGCCTCTTGGGGGGGTCCTGAAGGGGTTCCGAGTGCACTTGGGACCGTTTTGCGACCCTCGTCTGGCCTCTTGAAGGCATGCCGGAAGCTATCTTGAACATCGTCGGCTACAGGCCCTTTTGGAGCCATGTTGGGGCTCTTTTGTAGGATTTTGGGGTGCTCTTGTAGCCTTTTTTGAAGGTCTTGGGGCCCTCGTTGGGGGTCCCTGGGGCCATCTCGGATGACATCGATCAAAAGGGGGGGTCTCGATTTGCCTCCCCCCTGGGGCCATCAGACTCGCCAAAATGGGCCCAAAAGCTGGGTCAAATCAATGATATCGGCCATTTCGCCAGGGCCATCTTGGGCGCCCTGCTCGAAATCCTTTTACACATTTCAGGAGGGGAGAGGTAAACCTCCCTGGAGGGAAGAGGTTCTCGGAAGAGGATCGTTAGACCACCTTAGCCCAAAGGACTGGTGGGATTCGTGAATCTTGGCCAGCAGCGGTCCACAGCAACAAAACTCCTCCCTCCTCGATCTCATACCCCTCGAGGTGGTCGCCTGCACCGAGCCGGGCACGCCCCGCCGGAGTGGGGGCTTCGGCGACGTGCTCGCGGGGACAAGCGGGGCGATCCTGGCGTGGTTGCGGATGAGCGGCGGAGGACGCCCCGGGCGTTCATTCTCTGACGTCCTCATCGTGATTCTTCCTCCCCCGTGCCTCCTCGGACCTCCTTGCTCCTTCCTCCGATATCATTATCCTCCTCCTCCTCCTCCTACTCCTCCTGGTCCTTCCCCATCTTCCTGCTTCTCTTCCTCCTCCTCCTCCTCCGACTCTTACCTATGTAGCACCTTGCTTCTATTTCGGGGCCCATGTGGGCCGAGTTCCCACAGACCTCCCAGGTTGACGAGTTCGGTTCCTTGTGTGCGGGACATGGCATCGTGGCTGACCCTTCCCAAGGGTGTAATGGCTGCCTCAATGTTGTTAAACGGTTCGCGTTCCCTCCCTCTGTTCAGACATATTTCAAGCGACCTTATGCGGGTATGTCCCTGCGTATGCGTCGCACCTAGATTTCGGCAGTACACAAGGTGAAGGCACACACTGCGGATAACGGAGATTCAACGGAGTCTCAGCAGCTCTCCAAACATCGCAACGACGCCGCAGACGTTGCGGCCAAGAGAGGAGCTACTTCCCACCCTCGGGTTTCAGATTCAGATATGCAGCAAGTCTTGTATCATGTTGACGTTACTAAGCACGTTGTTAAGCTGGGGTGTCAGCTTATGCCGCTCTGGCCCAGGCTGGATCCCACGAGCGTTTAACGACTTAGGCCCCAGCCCTCAGGTACCATGAGAGGAATGACTTCCCTACGAATGTAACTGGCTCTGATATTTCTGGCACTGCCAAACATGTCTGCGATTCAAGCGGCAGGTGGACAGACCACCTTCCATCAGTTGCACAGGTCAGTTGCCAGCGGTGGCCACCTCTTTACAGGAGAGGGGACGCCACATCATCGCACTCAGCTGTTCTAGCGCCACGGTGCTGTATCTCTTATTTCGCTGTCTCGGGCATTCCAGCGGCGGCCAAGTCACGGAGCTCAGGAAACAATGTATCACTGAGCAGCCTCGCAAGTTGTCAAAGTATGCCGCGGCCGTCGTGAGGTCTTTGTCCAGAGGCCTCCATCCCAAGGACGCTGCTGTCACTTGCTATTGTGTTGACATTGAAGCGGTTGAGTCTGAGGCTCAGCTGGAGAGTGTTGCAGAGGCCCTGAGGAGTGAGGACGCCTTGGCGGGTCCAGCGGCACCCAGTCAGGCAGGTAGCGAGTCGGGGTCCGGTTGACGCTGCCTCATTTCCCTGCTTGCTTGGCGGTCACCTGGCCTAGTCAAATCCTCCTACCTCCCGAGGCAAAGGTTGAGCCAGCCAGAGCCTTTAGCATCGCTACCTGGAAGCGCCGGGGCGGCCGCGAGGACGGGGCTAGTGTCTGCGAGGACGGGGTTCGTGGCTGTCCGTGGGTCGGGCGCCGGCGCCCGCCGCCTCCAGCCAGCAGCAGGATGGGGCCCCCGCTCCTCGCCAGCCCCCCCCCCCCTCCCCCACCCGCCCTTCACCTCTGACTCCCGACGGCCTTTTCGACCTTCTCTGTCAGCTGGCCCCTGGAGCTCACGGCCCACTCCGCGGGAACAGCTTCTCATGGGGAGATGTCACGCGATGGCCCCAGGGGTCTGGCAATGCCCCACGTTTGGATTCCGAAGATTGCGGCAGGAAAGCCCAGGCGCGCGCCCGATCTTTGGGCCCCCACCTTCGGCATCCACCACGGGACCTCTCCAGGGGCGCGGCTTGCCCATCAACTTTGAAGGCGGGTCCAGCCGTGGCCACGAGGATGATGCAGGAGGCGCAGAACAGCCAAAAACACGTCGAAGCATTTCGATCCTCGAACCTCGGTTCTTGGGACGCTGTCGATCCTATTGCGGCCCGGAGGCACCGCCACAATAATCAAAGAGCACCCAAAACCACGTCCCTCGTCCAGTGGCACTGGGCGTGGCAAAGCACCCCAGTGGCCGAGAACGGCAAACAACTTTCCGCTGCGATTTCCCGCGCGACGCGAGGGGGCTTAGTTTTCGGACCACATCTCGCGTCTACGGCGGGTGTTCGGAACAATCCGCGCACCTCCAGAACGCTGTCGGCGAAGCGCAGCTGCTGGAAAGCACCCCGGGTTGTGGAGAACTTCGGGGAACCAGCGACAACGTCCGAACTCGATCATGATATGCATGTCTCTGGAGGACTCATTGGATGCGAAAGCCCTTGCTTGCTGAATAGGAACGGAGGTAAGAAAGTAGATGCTTGCAAAGTAGCTGCTCGGCATCGGCGCCGCAGGGGTCAGGGGCGATGGGCACCGAAGAAGCAGCCGCAGATCCTTCGAACCAAATGGCATACGAACGGCGATAGCGCACACATAGTCGGTCGAAGATTGGCCAGCAGTACGATGACACACGCAAGGCACCACGCAATGCAACATAACATGAAATGCTACACAAGCTACTGGGACGCGGGCGCGAATGCCCCCCCCCCCAAACAAAAATAGGCACAAGAGGCCTCCAAGATGGCCCCGCGAACGCCCAAGAGGCCCACAAGATTGCCCCCAGCGGGGCCAAGAACTACCCAAGAGGCCTCCCAGACGCCCAAGATAGCTTCCAAGACGCCAGAAAGGCCCAAGAGGGCCCAGGGTGGCAACTATATGTCTCCAAGACGGCCCAATGTGCATCCAAGACGGCCTAAGATGATCTCAAGGTGGCCGTGGGGTGCCCCCACGGGGCATCCAAAATGGCCCGAGATGCCTCCAGCGCAGCTTGATTTCCTTCCTCCCCCCTCCCCTTTCGCCCTTTCCCGCCCCATCCCTCCAACTGTTCCCCTGGCTGGGCAATGGCTTCGCCTGCTGACGGCCGCTGTCCGTCAGGTGCATTTGCCTGCGCTGTCATCTGGGCTGCGTCGCAAGCCCACTTCCGCATAGCAGGCTGCATGCCGCCGACGACATGGCCAGCACGTGGCCCGTCCATGTTGTCAAGATCTTGCGGAGCTCCCCCCGGAGCTTGACGTCGTTCTGGTCCTTTTTGTGAGTCTCCCAGCCGTGCAGCACCCTGGCCGTCGCCTTCGCGATACTCGCTTTCTGCGCCGTCTCGCTGGAATCCCTGAAGAGCTCTGGCGGCACTGGCTCTGAGAAGAGCTCGTAGGCCTGGACCATTTCAGTCTGGGACGTCTGGAGGGCATTCAGCTTCAGGGAGAATAAGTTGCCGTCGAGGTCGGCCACTGCTTTCGTGAAGATCGGCCGTGCAACGTCGAAGTCGTCGGCCTTGCCCTCTGGGATGTCGTCCGTCCAGGAAGTGCCATCTCCAGGCCCACCAGCTGCGCTGGCACTGAGCTTCCTGTTAGCTATCTGCATGAGAGTCGTCGCGCCCTTCAGGTACTCCACTTTGAGCTCGCCCTTCTTCGCGTCCAGCATCTCGATGAACGCGCCCGTGGCCTTGCGCGGCGCGGGGCCCACGCCGACCCGCGCAAGTAGAATGGCTCGGTCAGTCAGCAGCGCATTGATATCGACGTCCGAGCCCACCGCCGAACTCCTCGAAGCAAGGTCGGGCCCGCCCGCCTCGAACTTGCCCAAACTGGGAAAAGTGGCACCCCATGCAGTCACGGTCGTGATGAACGCGTCGAGGGAAGCCGAGAAGGTCTGGCGAGTCTCTGGCAGGTGCATGTCTTTGACCGCCATGACAAGCTACAGGATCGGCTTCAGGTTCTCTGGCGTTGCATTGATGTTCCCATTGATGTAGCCTAAGATAACCTCGAGAGACCTAATGCCGCTCTTACCCGCGACCCTAGGAGCCCCCTTCCCCGCCTGACCACGGGCACCATCCCATCCGGCCCAGCCTCCCCCCTCATCCGCAGCAAATCTGAAAAAGGTGCTGTTCAGATTCTGGGGCGCCCCCAGACTCTGGGGGGTGGGGGTTGCTCCGACTTTGTCTGTCGTTGTCCGACTGTGTCTCCTCGCTCCTACTCCCTGCCTCCTTCTCCTGGTCCCCCTCCCTGTTTCTCTTCCTACTCCCTCTTCGCCTGCTTTTCCCAGTTCTTGTCTTCCTCTTCCTCCTCCTCCTCCTCCTCCTCCTCCTCCTCGCCCCCAGTGCGCCCAGGAGGTTTCCAAGATGGCCCCATGACTGCCCAGGAGGCCCCAAAGACGGCCCCAAGAGGCTTCTGAGACGCCCAAGATGGCCTCCAACACGGCCCTGAAGCGCCTCAAGAGGACCCCACATCGTTTCAGAGAGGCCCCCAAGACGGCTTCCGACGGCGTCAGACCCGTCAGACGGGCCAGGAACGCTTTAAGACGGCCAAGGAGAGGCCCCCAAGACGCCCCAAAGGCCCCCAAGATGCCTAAGGAGGCCCCCAAGAGGCTTCCAAGAGGCCCCCGGCAATCCCCCAGGAGGCCCCACAAGATTGCCCCAATAGGCTCCAAGAGGCCTCCTCCTCCTCCTCTTCCTCCTCCTCCTTCTCCTCCTCCTCCTCCTCCTCCTCCTCCTCCTCCCTCTCCTGATCCTCCCCCTCAGCCTCCCCCAAGTGTTCCCCGAAGAGTTTCCGGAGCGGCTGGGGGAATCCATAATCAGATGGCTTGGCTAAATTGGGGCCCAACGTTTGGCCACATAGGCGCTTCTCAAAAAGGCTGGGGGCGGCTTTGATTCGCCGTAGGCGTCTTGGATCCGCCGCCCCCTGTGCTTGCCACAGGGGTGGACGGCGTGCCAGACATTTTGCTGCTCTTGTTCTTTTCAAACCCTTCCCAGTGGCCTTCGGCCCAGACCGCCGGCCCCATCGGAAGGACCAGAAGGTGTGGCCCACATCGTCACCAAGACGGCCCAAATGGCCCAAGATGGTCACCAAGATGCCTCCAAGGCGGCTAGGATTGCCCCAAGAGAGCCCAAGACGGCCTCAATATGTCTCCAAGACGGGCCAAGATGCACCCGAGGCGTTTCAAGATGGCTCCAAGATGGCCCAGGACGGCCCCAAAGGCCCCCAAGAGGCTTCCAATGCAGTCCAAGAAGCCTCCAAGGGGACCTGCAGGAAGGCCCGAAGATGGAAAGAGAGCTGATTTCCCGTGGGCTCTTGGCGCATTTTGACGTTTTCGGCCTGCCG